TGAAGTTAAAGCTTCTAATCTAAATTCTGAAACATATGGGGCATTTTTATGCAGCTAAAAAACTTCCCTTTCACTTGAAATCTAAAATGTAAACGTAACAAGGTCAAAATCTTATAATGAAGGAGGAATTTTTCATATAATGAAAATTAACTAGTTGAAAATTGAGAATTCGTTTTTCGAAAATTTTTTAGCAACATACAAAGGTTCGTTTATTTCAAGTGATTATAATGTCAATAATTTCAAACTACAGATCAAGAATAATACATTTATCTAAGATAATTTTTCGACAAGTAATGGAGATTGGTCATATGGAATGAATATAGCTGGTATGATGTACCTTACCTTTATTGATTAATTAATCAGTAATAACAATAGATTTAGTAGTGTTACTTCTGCCAATGAGTGTGGCATTTATGATATTTAATATGGAAGCTTTATTGATGAGAATTCGACGTATCAAAACATTTCTTCATTAGGTAAAGGTGGAATAATGTGTCTTACATTTAGTACTGCTATAATAAACAATGTAATCTACTCAGGAATTTAAGCTTAAGAAGGTAAAATATTGCAATTATTATATAAACTTCAATTTAGGAGGGATATTTGCAGCAGAAAGCAAATTAGTTCAATTAAATGTAATATTTCTCATCATATATTATTATTTTTAAGTTTCTAACACATATTTTTCAGATATATAAATTTATTATGCAGGTGGAATTGCTAGGTATAAAATATCGCAACCAATTCTGGGAGCACCTTCAAAAGATTAGATATTTACAAATTGTTCATTCTAAAATTTAATGACTCGGGCTAAAGGTTCTGGTTTCTATATTGAGAATTTTGTGATGGGACAAATGAAATTTATATCTTGTAAATTCATATTGTCTAATGCAGTACTTTCTGGGATATTTGATATAGAATCTAGCGTTGGTTCTATTGTAATTTAATCTGATTTTTAGAATTATGGATAGTCTGTTTTTAAAGAGTTTTACTCGTATAATTATGACGATTCATCCTCATCCCTTTTTTATTCTAATTCCTAGTATTTTCATTTAGAAATGACAGACTTGTTAATAGACTGCGAACTATAATCACAAAGTATCTGGAAAGATGAAACATAAATACTTTCTTCTGCTATAAAAATTAAGCAGTCTATTATTGGTATAATTTCTAAAAGAAATACTTTTAGGAATTGCTATAACACATAGATAGGCTCTATTTTTTCAATATCTGACTCAACTCTTAAAGATGAGGGTTCGGAATTTTACAATAATTCAGCGGAATAAGGAGGTATTTTAAGCTGTACTATGTGTACATTAATAATTAATAGTTCAAAATTTCATCATAATCAAGCACAATAAGGAGGTTTATTCATTATTTATGAAGGTTACGATATAGTCCTAGACAATGTTTAGATTTGGGAGAATAAGGCAATATAAAAGGGAGGAGTATTTTTTGTTAACTAAATTTCAGAGCAATAAATCTGGAAAAATGATATAGTTATCAAGAACTGTTAGGATATTAAATAGATTATTGCTTCAGAGGGAGGATTTTTATACTCATAAAGCTTTGATCTTAACTTAACAATAATAAACTCGGCGTTTTATGACATTTAAGCTTCAGTAGATGGAGGTCTACTGTCTCTAAATAAGGGTTCAGAATTTTATTTAAGTAATTTAAAAATAATAAATGTAACTGCAAGGGACTTTCAAATTCTAACATCCATAGCTCAACTTAGAAATTTTACAATGGAAAATTGTGAGATAATATGTGATCCTAGCTACTAAGGAGATTCCAATTAAGAATTAGATACAATAAGTCCTAAATTTGATAAATTGGGGATATTTAACTTTTAGAATGCTCAGGGAATAAATGTTATAAAATCATTGTTCTAGTAATGTCACTCATCAAATGAAGGAGGAATATTTAAACTATTCAAAGTTGCCTATTTTTACGATTATTAATCTAGGTATATAATGAATTCAGCTGTTTTCGGTGGAGTTTTTCATTTAACTTAATCAGGTGTATACCTTAGCGAGACAAAGTTTAAAGATAATAAAGCTAATAGAGGTGGTTGTATTGATATTGGATATCATTCTTATATCTCTATGAATAAGGTATCCTTTTAAAACAACTTAGCTTATTCATCTGCTGGAGTTATATATATTTAATCTAGATCTTATTTCTAGGCAATAAATAGTGATTTTACCAATAACAAAGCTAAAGATAGTTCTGTAATAGAAATCTTTGAAAGTTCAAAGATTTTTTTTAATTTGGTTAAATTTTGCACAATTGAATATAATTATGCAAATTCTAACTCTATCATCAATGCTTTTTGAAAACAATCTATCATATCTTTATGGTAACAATATATCCTGTTTTGCTTAAAGTATTGTTCGAATAAGCAACAATGATTACAAATACAAAAAGAGATTTTTTTAATTATGAGATCTTTGATACTGAAATAACTCTATAATCTTAATAGTCTGGGGAAAAATTTTAACCAATATATCTGGCATTAATAGATCAATACAAATAAATTGTTTTTGATGATTTTACTAATAAGCTTAGCTTAATAATTAATATTGCTGATACAGAAAACTTTAAGTATCCACCAATCTTAGAAGGATATTCAACATTTAATCTATAGTATGGCTTAGCCGAAATAAAAGATGTGTCTTTCACTGGAACTCCTGGAGTAAACTATAGTATATCAGTACTTACTGAAGCAATAGATAAAAATAAGAAATCTAACTATTAATATATGTAAGCTAGAGGTCTAGATTAGATAGATTTTAAAATTGAAATTCAACTCAGGGAATGTGAGATAGGAGAGTAATTTACATCTAGCGGAAAATGCGTCTTATGTCCGAATGTTTTAAGTTTTTCACTAGAAAAAATGACAGAACCTGGAAATTGTATAATTTGTCCAGAACAAAAGGCTATCTGTTAAGGAGGCTCAAACATTGGGCCTAAAAAAGGTTATTGGAGAAGTAATAATAATACATAGAATTTTTTGCGATGTCTAAATTATGAGTCTTGCTTAGGAATGATACCTCCATAAAATGACCCAAAAGGAGCATGTAAAGATGGTTATTAAGGAATTTTATGCTAGGATTGCTAAATTGACTATTCAAAGGTCGAAAATCTATTGTGCTAAAAATGCCCTAAAACTCATTTCAATGTATTGAGGTTGCTAGCAGTTTTTTTGCTTACTGCATTAATTGTTACATTTTTGATTAGATCAACTTTAAATGGTGCTAAAGACAAAAGAAATATAACAAGCATTTATTTGAAAATTTTGATGAATCATTTATAAGTAATAGTTTTAACAGCTTAATTCGAATTCTAATGGCCTTAGTAAGTGTTAAAGTACTTTAATGGATTCAGACCTGTAGCATAATCATCTTATCAAATAATATCAATAGACTGTTTCCTTGATTTAAGGACGACTCAACAAGATAATTTGTTTAGAGTGTATTTCTAAAAGCTAATAATACTATCTATTTTCCCAATAATTATACTGATTATTGCTATTGCTTTTTGGCAAATTTATTTTTAAATAAGTAGGAGCAAAGCTGAATAAATTGGAAGAACAGTATCAACTATCATTATTATTTTATTTTTAGTTCACCCAAGCATTGTGCAATATATGTTTAGTAACTTCTCATGTATGACAATTGACTCTGATTAGAGAATTTAAGACGATTTGGAAGTCAAATGTTGGAGTGATTTTCACAATTTCATTAGTTACTTCATTGCTATTCCCAGTATTATAGTTTGGGGAATAGGAATTCCATTTTTTGCTTTAATATTGTTATTTAGATTAAGATCTAAACTTGATCTCAATATATTAAGAGTAAGATATGGTTTTCTCTATAGAGGTTATAAAAAGGAGTATTATTACTGGGAGATATATATAATGTATAGAAAGTTATTAATAATTTTTATTTCAGTTTTCTTTAAGAACTATAGTGTGGTCTCTTAAGCATTGATTGCTTTGATTTTTTATGTATTGTTCTTGCTATTGAATAATAAATTGAGTCCATTTGTTAATTAAGCTCTTAATTAACTAGAAAACCTATCTCTCATAACTTCTTTGCTTACAATATATTGCGGTTTATATTTCATTACTGACATAAATGAGAATTGGTTAAAAAATGAACCAGAGCTCAAGAAGTTTATCATTCTAAGTGAAGAAATGAAATTCTTTTTCTTTTGTGTTATTTTAATATCTAATCTTGTATTCTTCGTGCATTGGATAAAAAAAATGTCTAAAGAAGTTTAATTTAATTTAATGACTAAAATGCCGAAGTTGTATCTATTGCTCTTCATGTTTAATAATAATCAGAGATTTTAAATGAAATTGAACGAAGTGAGAATTAAAGATGAAAGCGATAATCTTCTTGATGAATTTGATAGTAGTAAGTATATTTTATTGATTAATTACTATTTAGCTTTAAGGGTATTGAAGGAGCTTTATGAAAATAGGAAACTTATTCTAAATAAGAAAACAGTTGAAAAACTATAGCTAATGTTAAATCCTGATGAGGTTTTAAAATAACTAAAGCAAGGAGGAATTTCTGAAAATATTCAATCGTCATCAAAAGTTTGTAATTTTCCTTGATTTTAATAAACTAAAATAAAAGGTTCCCCTCAGAAGATAGAAACAAAGAAAAAACTTAGAAAGGAAAGAAAATTAAAAGTAGCTAAAATTTTAGATAAATAAAATTCAATCGATGATGATCTTCTTTCCAATGATTAAATATTTACAGATAAAGAGACTACATTTTCTAGTAATAAAAGGTTAAGTGAAAGCAAACAATAGTTTGGAATAGATTAGAATTAAAGTTTAAAGAGTGATGATTTGAGTCGTTAATTAAATACAAAACAGAAAAAGAAGAAAGAAAGAATGCTAAATTAGATGAGAAAATCGTTTTTAATTTAAAGAACTTAAACTTCTAAATAAAATATTAAGCATGATTCTGAAATCAGAAGGAATAATTACTTTGAATAAGTTACTAAGGACTAATCTGTATAATCAAAAAAAAATCATATAAAATCACTTTTCAGCAAATAACCAAAAAATCTTGCTTCATCATCATCAATACATGACAGAATTCAAAATGAGGAATTAAATTTCTAAGTATTGCAGTAATTTGATGGAAATGAAAGCTAAATTCAAGATGATGAGTAAAAGATAATAATTTTGCATAAAAGAGGGAAAAATAGGAAGAAAAATGAGAATAGCAGAACTTCCTTAAAATCTACTCCAATGAAATAGTCAAGGTGCGATGACAGTTAATAGCTATTAAATGACTCCATGGGAACATCAACTTAAAGATTAAGAGAGTTCAATTAAGTAATCAAAAGTCCATTTACTATGGTAAATACTTCATTCTCTAGCAATTAAATGATCAAGATTGATGAGGGATTAGTTAATCAAGTTCAAAGTTCATTGACTTAATAGCTAAGTTTAGAGGCTATTTCAGAGTTCGACTTAGATGATAAAATTGGAGCTGAAGGTGGAAAAAATTTATAAGATATATAGCAACCATCCTCTAAGTAAATTCCAGAAGAATGAAAAATGTCTTCTTTGGCTGTATCAGAATAATACTTGGAAAAATTTATAGCTTATTCTTTACTGTAGTAATTACAGTATAGCTAAACAATAGTCTTAAAACTGGCTCGTGAATAATATAATACTTTTGAAAAACAAGATAATATCGAGAGAAATATATTATTTTTTGATTTATCAGTATTATTATGATTTTAAAAAAATTGATAATTTTTATTTTTATTGAAATTCTAATTATTATAATACTTTTGCTTATTTTGAAGTCAGGGGTTTTGGGGTTTTGGGGTTT